GAATTCTCTTCCCTTGGCCTCCTCTGAAACGCGGAAAACCAAACAACCGACCCCTCTCTCCGCCCCTCACCGACCCCTCTCGCATTCATGTGCACAGTCGCGCGCGCGCGCGCGCGCATTTGATCCCCGACCGCGATGAACCAGGTCGAAAACTACCATTATTTGGAGTTCCAATTACGCGACACGCAAGCGAGCAAGACGCGGAACACGCGTCACGTATTCTGTTCCCAGCATCCAAAGCAACGGAGCAACAGTGAAACTGCGAGGAGGTTGGGGCTGCCGGGGCCGCGGAGTGGGGGTAGGGTAAAAGGACCGACGTACTAGCAATCAGTAACATTATACGACGCGACACGAGCCAACCACCCCATTAGCATTCATATTTCAATTTCATAGCCCTCGGGCTGGTGGTTGTACGGGATCCTGTAAGGCTGGCGCGGGGTGTGCAACGGAGATAAATACAAGTTCGATGGAAGGGAGAGCGTGAAAGGGAAACGGGTATGAGGGTTCGCTTGTACGTGGGATGGGGACAGGTAGCGAAAGAGGATTACCAGGAAGGAGCAGGAGAGCGTGATAGGGGGGCGGCGCGAGCGACAGAGACGCGTCGACAGGGCGGATGAAAGGGACAGAGAGAGAGAAGGCCGCCGGTAGCGATGGCTACGACCCGCGCGCGAGTATTAGAAACAGTTACTCCGCGACTCTCACTTATCGACCAGGCTATCGGTAAATTTAATAAGCACGTATACCGCACTGCGAATTTGGTGAATGAATTTCGGATTCGAAGTTCGTAGCTTTTAATTTTCCTCCTAATAATTCCCTGTCGTTTTAATTATTTTAGTTCAATTTACTTTAATTCGTTCGCTAATTGTTTCGATAATTCGTATTTTAAATACTACACTTCTATCGTTAGTATCGACTGATTTCACGGTGTGTATTATAAACGACGAACCGTTAATGAAGAGAGCCAGCCCGATTCAATCGGAACGACTCGATATTTCAAAGAACGTGAATTCGCGTCCATATTTTCACGCAATTTAAATTCATCGATACGTTCGTCGAACGAGACCGCACAGCCCCCACCACCGCGATAACAAAGTCCGCGAGACAGCGAATTAAATCACATAAATTATATCGACCTGGAAAGCCGTCAAAAGGAGCAGAGATATTTCACTCTCGTATTAATCCGAGCAAAATACCGTGTACGATTTCAACAAAACCGTAAATATAACGCAGAGTTTTCGTAATCGGCCGTGCTCCTCCGCGCGAGTCTTCCCCCCCAACCGATTCAGCTGGATTAGCCGGGAACCGATTGAAAATTTCCGAACGATAATCGAATTAGTCCCATCGCTAGCCGGTCCG